GCATCCGCCAGGCACGGAGCCAAAATTCCAGCCCCAAAATTCCAACCCCCAAAATCCCAGACCAGGAATTCCAACCTCAAAATTCCTGACCCCAAAATTCCAACCCCAAAATTCTCTGTCCCAGAATTCCAGGCCCAAATTCCAGCTCCAAAATTTCCGACCCCAAAATTCCAGCCCCAAAAATTCCAGCCCAGGAATTCCAGCCTCAAAATCCCAACCCGAAATTCCTGACCCCAAAATCCCTGCCCAAAATTCCAGGTCCAAATTCCAGCCCCAAAATTCCAAATTCAGACTTCCAGCCCCGAGATCCCTGTCCCAAAATCCCAGACTGGGAATTCCAACCCCAAAATCCCCATCCCAAAATTCCAGCCCAAAAATTGCAGCCCTAAAATCCCAGACCCAAAATTCCAGATGAGGAATTCCAACCTCAAAATTCCCTCTCCCAAATTCCAGTTCCAAAATCCCAACCTCAAATTCCCTGTCCTAAAATTCCAGCCCCCAAAATTCCAAACCAGGAATTCCTACCCCAAAACTCCAATCCCAAAATTCCTGTCCCAAATTCCAGCCCAAAAATTCCAGCCCTAAAATCCCAGACCAGGAATTCCAACCTCAAAATCCCCATCCCAAAATTCCTGACCCCAAAAATCCGGATGAGGAATTCCAGCCTCAAAATTCCCTCTCCCAAATCCCCTGCCCAAAAATTCCAATCCCAAAATCCCAACCCTAAAATCCCAACCCCAAATTCCCTCTCCCAAAATTCCAGCCCCAGAAATTCCAGACCAGGAATTCCTGACCCCAAAATCGTAACCCGAATTCCGGCCCGGCAATTCCAACCCCGAATTCCCTCTCCCAGAATTCCAGCCCCCCAAATCCCTTTCCCGTTTCCCGGGAATCTCCTCCGGCCTCTCCCGGGGCCTTTTCCCTTTAAACCCCCCCATGGAAAAGTGGGAAAAGCGATCCCGAATCCCGGGGTCCCTCCGGTCACGGGGGTCGGGCTAAAAATTAATCGGGATTTTCCACTCGGCCGCATTTTCCCGGGATTTGGGGTCACGTGGGGGGGATTTGTTCGCATTCCCGAGGTTTTGCCCTGGATTTGAGGCTCCCGCTCCTTTTTTTGCATCCCAAAAAAATCTTTCCCTTTCCTTTTCCCCGCTTTTTCCCGGGGTTCGGTGGCCCCGAATTCCCAGGAAACGGCAAAAAAACCCACGGGAATTTGGGAATTTGGGGGCTCGGTTTTCCCTGGATTTGATCCCGGTGGGAATGAGGGATCCCGATCCCTGTTTTTCCTGCTCCATCCCAAGGTTTTTCCCCAAAATATTCCCCCACAAAAACCCCAAACCAGCGGGATTTGGGGAATTACCTTTCCAAATGTGCCAGGAGAGGCAAAATCCCAAAAAAACCGTGGGATTTTGGGAATTTGGGGGCGGATTGGGCTCAGTGAGGGATCCCCATCCCAATCCCTGATTTTCCCGCTCCATCCCAAGGTTTTTCCCCCAAATATTCTCAAAAAAAAACCCCAAACCAGCGGGATTTGGGAATTTGGGGGCTCAGTTTTCCCTGGATTTGATCCCGGTGGGAATGAGGGATCCCCATCCCAATCCCTGCTTTCCCCGCCTCATCCCAAGGAAATTTCATCCCCAAATTCCCTCTCCGGGAACCGGGAATCCCCCCAAAAATTTCGGGATTCCTCCCCTCCTCATCCCGATTTTCCCCATCCCATTCCCGACCTTCCCCATCCACCCCAGCAGCTCCCAAATCCCGGGAAAACCTCAGAGCCGCCTCCTCCTCCCGCTAAAACCGGGATCAAATCCCCAAAACCCCCACGGGCGGCTCCAAAAACCGGGATTAAATCCCGAGAATCCCCGCGGCCATGGAAGGGATAAAGTTCCCAAAGATTTCCCGGAGTTCCCGGAGCCTCTGGAGCTTCCCGGACTTTGTCTCCGGGCCCGGGCTTTGGATCGAGCCCAGCGCGGCCCCGAATTCCTGGGAAAATTCCAGGAGCGGCCGGAAGGAGGGAAGAGGGAAGGAAGGAAAGGAAAGGTAACCGAGATTTCGGGATTTCGGGATCTGGGAATTTTTTTTCCCTCTTTTCCCCTCCCCCTCTTTGCGGTTTCCGCTCTCCCGCGTTGGGAATTCGGGAGCGGATCCTGCCCTGAGGGCGGCGGGAATTCCCAAAAAAACTTCCCGGTTCCCACCCCCAGCTGGGATTTCACTCCCGGTTTTCCCCTCCCCGGGGACTGCAGAATTCCAGGATCAAGAAATTCCCAAAAATTCCCAAAATTCCTCCCCCCCGGGAGAGGTTTCACTCCCGGTTTTCCCTTCTCGGGGAATTCGGCATTCCAGGATCAGGAAAATCCCAAAAATTCCCGATTCCCATCCCCAGCTGGGATTTCAGCCCCAGCGGGTCCAAATCCTACCCTGGGGAGTGTGGGAATTCCCAAAATTCCCAATTTTTCCTTCCAGCAGTGCTCTCATTCCCGGTTTTCCCTTCCCCGGGGGCTGCAGAATTCCAGAATCAAGAAAATTCCCAAAAATTCCCAAAATTCCTCCCCCCAGGAGGGGTTTCACTCCGGGTTTTCCTTTCCTGAGGGATTTGGGATTCCAGGATCAGCACAATTCCAAAAAATCCCAATTTCCCCCCCCCCGCCCCCATCCAGGAGAGGTTTCATTCCCGGTTTTCCCTTTCCCGGGGGCTGCAGAATTCCAGGATCAGGGAATTCCCAAAATTCCCAGTTTTTCTTCCCTGCAGGATTCGGCATTCCAGGATCAGGAAAATTCCCCCAAATTCCCAAAATCCCCCCCCACCCCCCCAGGAGAGATTTCATTCCCAGTTTTCCCTTTCCCGGGGACTGCAGAATCCCAGGATCAGGAAAATTCCCAAAATTTCCCAATTTCTCTTGCCTGGGGCCTCAGAATCCCGGGATCAGGTTTGGGAATTCTGGGAATGAGAGCGCCAGGGGGATTTGGGGATTGGCTCGGGAATGGGATCGGGATCGGGAATTGGGGCTCCATGAGCTCCTCAATCCCTTGGGATGAGCCCATCCCGTGGGAGTTTGGGAGTTCCTCTGGAATTCCGAGAGCTCCGGGGTTGGAAAACCCGCTGTTCCAGAGGGGTTTTCCCAAAAAAACCCCAAAATTCCCCAAAAAAACCCCCCAAAAACCGGGAGAGGCTTCGGGAGTTCTCGTCCCTCTGTTCCCAAATTTTTTATTTGGGATCTTTTGGGAGATGCCGGAGCGGGATCAGATCCCAAATCCATCCTCGGGATTGGCAGGGATCGGGAATTGAAGGAAATCGGGATTATCCCAGCCCAAACATTCCCAGGAAAATCCTGGAATGAAATCCCAAACAGAAAGTTGGGAATTCCCTCTCGGATCCTTTTCCCTCTTCCCGATTTTATTCCGGGATGCCGAAATTCCTGGGAATTCCCGATACAAGGGAGAGGTCCCGGGAGGAGCTGAGGGATCGGATTCCAAGGAAAAGGCGGGATCTGGGATGGGCGGGGTCGGGAATGCGGATCCCGCTGGGATTTTGGCGCTCCCGCCTCTTTTTTTTGGGATTTTGGGAGCCAGGAATGAGCTGAGGGATCCAATTCCATGGGAGGGGGAATTCCCGTTATCCCGGGGGGATCCGAGCGTGCCAAAGGCCGGAAAATCGGGAATGAGCCTTCCCTGGGCTGGAAATTTGGGAAGCGGCTCAAACCCGGGATGGACTCTGGGATGGGATCTGGGAACGCTGGGATCCCAAACTGGGATTTGGGATTGTCAGGATTTGGGATTTGGGATGGGGTTTTGTATCCCTGGGATTGGGGATGGGAACTGGGACGGGAACTGGGATTTGGGATCTGGGATCCCAAACTGGGATTTGAGATGGGATGAAACTGGGATCGTTGGGATTTGGGATCTGGGACGGTATTTGGGATTCTTGGGATGTGAAATTTGGGATGAGATTTGGGATGGGATTTGGGATCACTGGGATTCCAAACAGGGATTTGGGATGGGAACTGGGATTGTTGGGGTTTGGGATTTGGGATTTTGGACCGCTGGGATCCCAAACTGGGATTTAAGATTGCCAGGATTTGGGATCACTGGGATTTGGGATCACCGGGATCCCAAAGTGGGATTTGGGATTGCTGGTATGTGAAATTTGGGATTGTTGGGATTTGGGATTGTTGGGATTTGGGATAGGATTTGGGATGGGAACTGGGATGGGATCTGGGATCTCTGGCACCCCAGATTTGGATTTGGGATCTCTGGAATCCCGATCCCATGGGATGACCGGAACCCCAGACCAGGACCGGAGCAGAGGCAGGATCCGATCCCCGGCGGATTTTTTGGGAAGAGAGGCTCAAATCCCAAATTTCCCATCCTGGCACGGCGGGAATCCCTGGAAATGCTTCCCGGGAATCTCCTGGATCCATCCCAATCCCGAATGTTGGGAATTCCGGCCCTGGAGCGGAGCCACCCCCGCAGTCCCCAAATCCCAAATCCCGGAGTGTCCCGAGGCTGCTCCCGGGATCGGGATTCCCACAATTCCCACTTTTCCAGCCTCGGCACCTTCCCGCTCCCGCCCCTCCCCGGCCTTGCCCTTTGCGCCGCTTTTCCAGCCCCAAAAATTCCTTGGAAAACCCAAACAAAGGCTGGGAGCGGCTCCGGGATCATCGGGATCGTCCCTCGGGATCCTCCCCTCCCCCCGCTCCACGGAGCAGCTGCAATCCCGCTGGAATTTTGGGCTTCTCCCGCCGTTTTTCCCACTTTTCCAACCCCCATCCCTCCTCTCCCGGCTTCTTTCCCACTTTTCCAGCCCCCACCTGGCTTTTCCCAGCCTTTTCCCCACTTTTCCAGCTGTTTTTCCCATTTTTCCAACCCTCATCCCACTTTTCCTGGCCTTTCTCCCACTTTTCCAGCCCCATCCTGCTTTTCCAGGAGTTTTTCCCACATTTCCAGGAGTTTTTCCCACTTTTCCAGCCGGTGCTGGGATCCCGGAGCGGGAGGGCTTGGCCATGGCCTCCAACGGCTCCTCTGGAATTCGGGATTCCCCCCTGGAGCCAGGAATTTTCCTGGATGAGGATCTGGGATCCGACTGGTACCTCTACGAATCCACGGAATCTGCGCTGGGAGATGAGTGAGTCTTCCCTTCCCGCGGAGCAAATCCCTGGATTTTGGGCCCTTCTACAAATCCTGGAATTTTTGGTCATTCCCTGATTTATTCCTGGATTTTTGAGCCTGGAATTTTTGGGGTTGGCTCTGTCATTCCCTGATTTATTCCCGGATTTTTTGCCTCACCAAAATCTGGGATTTTTCCCAGAATTTTCCCATCCCCTGCAAGGTTAAACCCAAATCTGGGATTTGGGTTTAACCCTGAAAGGGATTAAACCCCCAAAATTTGGGAATTTTCCCGTTTTTCCAGGGTTTTCCCCGTTCCTTTCCGGGTTAAACCCAAAAAATTTGGGATTTTTCCCATTTTTCCAGCCTTCTTCCCGACGCCATCCCGGAATGCCACCCCACCATTTCCCCCCGGCTCTACCACACCATCATGGCTCCCATTTCCGTGAGTATCCGCCCCAAAATCCCGGGATTTTCCTGTCCTGGGGAAAAATTCCAGGGGGAAAAAAGGAAAAAAATCCAGGGGAAAAAAAGAAAATTCCAGGGGAAAAAAGAAATTCCCATTCCCACGTCCCATCCCCCACCCAGAATCCACGGATTGGATTCAGCCCCTGGCTCCGTCTTGGATGAATTTTCCTCCCCTCAGAGCTCCCAGAATTCCCGGATTTCTGGGATTTCAGCTCCCTGTGGGACAAGAACTCTAAAATTCCTCCCGGGTCTTTCCCGGGATTCCTTTTCCATGGATTTACGGGGTCTCCGTGGGGTTCCCAGCATTCCCAGGAGTGTTTTTCCATGAAATTCCCATCCCTTTCCCAGCTGGCCGTGATCCTGGCCTTGTCCTTCCCGGCCAAGCGCCGCCGTCTCCACCGGAGCTGCTGGAGCGGCGTCCCGGGATTGCTCAGGTATCGTAATTCCCAAAATCCCACCCCTCCTTCCCTGGAAAGGGATCAGAATTCCCAAAATTCCTCTCCTCCCTGGAAACATCTCTGAATCCCCAAACCCCTTTGATCCCTCAATGGAAACAGCTCAGAATTCCCAAAATCCCAATGATCCCTCTCTGGAAAGAGCTTGGCATTCCCAAAATCTCAATGATCCCATTCCTGGAAAGGGCTCGGAATTCCCAAAATTCCTCTCCTCCCTGGAAAGGGCTCCAAATTCCCAAACCCCTTGGATCCCTCATTGGAAACAGCTCAGAATTCCCAAAATCCCAATCGTCCCTCTCTGGAAAGGGTTCGGAATTCTGAAAATTCCTCTCCTGCCTGGAAAGAGCTCAGAATTCCCCAACTTCCTCTGACTTCTCATTGGAAACAGCTCGGCATTCCCAAAATCCCAATGATCCCATTCCTGGAAAGGGCTCAGAATTCCCAAACCCCTCTGATCCCATTCCTGGAAAGGGCTCAAAATTCCTCTCCTCCCTGGGAACGTCTCCAAATTCCCAAACCCCTCTGACTCCTCATTGGAAAGAGCTTGGAATTCCCCAAATCCCAATGATCCCTCTTGGGAAAGGTCTTGGCATTCCCCAAATCCCAATGATCCCATTCCTGGAAAGGGTTTGGCATTCCCAAAATCCCAACGATCCCTCTCAGGAAAGGGCTCGGAATTCCCCAAACCCCTGTGACCCCTCCCCCCCAGATCCCCTCTCCCCGTTCCCTGGGAGCAGCTGGGAATTCCTGACGCCGTTCCCGGGATCCTTTCCCAGCTCCGGGAATCTGGAGGAGGACGGGAGCCGCGCTCCGGCCGCCGCCGCCTTCGCCCTGCAGCTCTCGGCGCTTTTCCAGCTGCTGCTGGACCGGGAACCGCTGCCCCTGGCAGCGCCCGCCGGACACGGAGCGCGCGGTGAGAGCCACCGGGATGGCGCCGGTGACACCCGTGGTGTCATTGTGGTGTCGCATGTGACGTCACTGTGACGTAATTGTGATGTCATCGTGGTGTCACATGTGACGTCACTGTGACGTCATTGTGATGTCATAGTAATGTCCTAGTGGTGTCACATGTGATGTCACTGTGATGTCACTGTAGTGTCACATGTGATGTCACATGTGACGTCACTATTATGTCATTGTGACATCATTGTGGTGTCACATGTGACGTCGCTGTGATTACACATGTGACATCACTGTGATGTCATTGTGATGTCATTGTGGTGTCACCCCTGATGTCATTGTGATGCCACATGTGATGTCAATGTGATGTCATTGTGGCGTCACATGTGACGTCACTGTGATGTCACCCCTGATGTCATTGTGACGCCACATGTGATGTCATTGTGGCGTCAGTGTGAAGTCATTGTGATGTCATTGTGGTGTCACCCCTGATGTCATTGTGATGTCAATGTGAAGCCATTGTGACGTCACTGTGATGTCACATGTGATGTCAGTATTACGTCAGTGTGATGTCATTCTGATGTCATTGTGAGGTAACATGTGATGTCACTGTGGTATCATTGTGGTGTCACATGTAATGTCATTGCGATGTCACTGTTATGTCACTGTTATGTCAGTGTGATGTCATCTGTGATGTCATTGTGATGTGACTGTGGCTCACAGTGATATCACCTGTGATGTCACCATGATGTCACTGTGACATCACGTGCACTGTCACAGTGACGTCACCATGATGTCACTGTGACATCACGTGCACTGTCACAGTGATGTCACCATGATGTCACAGTGATGTCACTGTGATGTCATGGAGACAACACCTGTGATGTCCCCTGTAATGCCACATGCTGTCAGCGTGATGTCATTATGATGTCATATTGATATCACTGTGATGTCAATGTGACGTCACCATGATGTCACTCATGATGTTGCACGATGTCAATTTGATGTCACCATGATGTCACCCATGATGTCACCCATGATGTCACCTATGATGTCACCACGATGTCAATATGTCACTCGTTATGTCCCTGTGATGCCAATGTGACGTCACCATGACGTCACCGCAATGCCGAGGCCTCATTCCATGTTTTTCCCTCTTTTCCCAGAGTTCTGGAAGCTGCTGGCGCTGCTCTATTACCCGGCTCTCTATTGGCCGCTGCTGGCCTGCGCCGCCGCCCGGCGCCGCCGCGGCTACGCGG